CTGAATATTTTCATTTTTTGAGGAATTTATTTAAAATTCTATAAAAAATAATTGAAACTCTGCGATAAGTTTTGTTATTTATTGAAAATAATTGAATTCTTGCAAGGAATTTTATTAAAATTTTTTTAAACAATTGAATTCCTGTGAAAAATTTTATTTTTGAAAAGAATTGAATTCTTGAAAAGAATTTTATTAAAATTTCTTAAATAATTGAATTGCTTCGAAGAATTTTAATAAAATTTTTCTGAATATTTTCATTTTTTGAGGAATTTATTTAAAGTTGTATAAATAATAATTGAAACTCTGCGATAAGTTTTGTTATTTATTGAAAATAATTGAATTCTTGCAAGGAATTTTATTAAAAATTTTTTTAAAGAATTGAATTCCTGTGAAAAATTTTATTTTTGAAAAGAATTGAATTCTTGAGAAGAATTTTATTTAAATTTCTTAAAAATTTTATGCAAATAGAAATTACGGTAGAGTTTACAGAAAGTAGAATTTAAGCTAAATGGAATTGGAAGAAAATCGGATTCCTGCTAAATAGAAATTTTGTCGATTTAAACTTTCAAAAAGTGTAATTTCAACTAATTGAAAATTTTTGTTGAGTGGAATTTAAAAAATCGAAAATTCCTGCTAAATAAAAATTTCGCCGAATTAAATTTGTATAAACTGGAATTTCGACTAATTAAAAATTATTCTATACGGAATTGAAATAATCGAGAATTCTGGCTAAATTCAAATTTTTCAAAATTATAATTATAATAATTAAGAATTTGTCCTAAATACAAATTTTTTTGGATTAAATTTATCGGCATTAGAATTTCTACTAACTGACAATTATTTTAAATAGAATTTGAACAATCGAGAATTTCGGCTAAATACAAAGTTTTCAAAATTAAATTTACTGAAACTTTGGAATTTAAGCAAAATGGAATTGAAAGAATAAAGAATTCCTGCTAAATACAAATTTTGTTTGATTAAATTTATCGAAACTAGAATTTCTATACTAATTGAAAATTATTTTCGAGAATTTCTGCTTAATCAAAATTCAGCTAAGTCAAATTTGTCGTAAACAGAATTTCTCCAAAATGAAAATCTTGATAAATAGAAATTGGACAATCGGAAATTTCTGATAAATAGAAATTTTTGCTAAATTTAATATGCCATAAATAAATTTTCCGCTAAATAAAAATTATCTTAAATAAAAATTTGACGAAAAAATCATTTGACGATTAAAAAAATTCGGCTAAATATAATTTCTACTTTGTAAAACTTTGACTCTTTGAAAACTTCGGGTTGAGTAGAATTTCTGCTAAATAGAAATTCTGCTTAATGATTATTTGATTCAATAGAAATTCGGTTAAATAAATATGCGATTAAATAAAAATTCGGTAATTTATATTATTAGAAATTCTGTAAAATAGAAATGATTTCAAATAAATTTTCGCTAAATTAAAAAATTTTGTATTATTTTCAATTTTGGCTAATTTTAATTAATTTAATTAATTTTAATTAATTTTAATTTTTAGAAATTCTACTATTTGAAGTTTCTGTTAAATAAAAACTGGATAAAGTAGCAATTTTACTCTTGAAAAAAGGTATTAAAAAATTGTGCCAAATTTCCGCTAAATAAAATGTGAATAAAGCAGAAATTTGACGCTCGAAAAAAGTGAGTAAAAAATTATCTTAAATACAATTTCGGCTAAATTCAAATTGTGTATTAAATGAGTATACTATTGAATACGCTTCCTAACGCTAAATAAAAATTAGTTTTGAAAAAAATAATTAGCCAATTATTAAGCACAATATGAACAATATATTGTACAGAAATAAAAAGTGGAAAATGTAAAGAGTGACAGAGAGAACGAAAAAAAAAATTACAAAATTTGTGAAAGATATGAAACAATAAATAAATTTTTTTTTTACCTCAAATTATACATATTATATGAATGATAAATTCAACGAAATGGACAAGGATACGTTCCTGGGGAGAATCCCATAAATAAAATAGGCCCAAATGGCGGTGCGTTAATGTCAAAAAATCGGTGGCATAAAACAGAGTAAATAAAAATTGAAACCGGTCTCACCTGAGCGTAGTCATTCCCAAAGAGTTCAAACTTCTCTAGACGCTATATATATAAACATATATATATGTATATACATATACGTAAAATTTAGATTGAATCCTATCGATCGTTTATCGTAATTTAATCTTTCAATGCATTATAGGGATTAGTTAGCTCCGCATTTGGATATATAGAGGAAAGCAGACTAGATTAAAATACTTCCATAATATTTGCATTGCAATTTTTTAAATCCATCTCTAAACAGAGTGAGAGAGAAAGATTTGTCTGTCAATGATTAATTTCTTTTCATTATTAGTTCTTTTCAATTATTATTTTTTTTTTTTTGGTTTTTGAAATTTTTTTGATGTTTTGATTCTCTTTCTGCTTTTGGTTCGTTTTCTTTTTCATTTAAGAACTTTTCAAAATTTGGCTCTGTTTTAAATAGAAATGCGATTAAATAAAAATTCAATAATAAATAATTAACAATAATTTAATGATTTAATTTAATCGTACCTCTTTTTTTTCTAACAAATAATATATTTAATCACTCAATTAATTTTTCAATAAAAAAAATTTTTTTTTTAAAATATTTTTTTAATAGTTTTGCATCACTTCCGGCAATGAGTGTCTGATTATATTAATTAGTAATTTACTGTATAATTAATAGCTTCTAATTATTATTATATACTCTAATGAAGCCAATGGAAAATTAAATTTACAATCCAAGAGAGATGTACATATATTTATATTTTTGTTTTTTGATTTTTTTACATATTTATCATCGAATCATCGATCTGTAGATATTAATTGCAACAATCACCTGTCGCAGTGCCAATAGAAGTAAAATTAAAGTAACAATGATGCATATCAAATTCATGACACGATGGAATGCACTTAGGTGTAACGACGTTTGTAATGGTTGAGGAAATTTATAAATTGCCAAGTAATGCTGCTGTATGAAATAAATTGCATTGCACACTATATATACCAGGAGAAAAAGAGAAAGAGTGAGAGAGAGAGAAAGAAAGAAAACTTACGTCGTGAAAGTGTTGATAACATGAAACGACATTATACTCGCACCTTTATAGAGGAGATTGATACCAGAGCTTTATTTTATTTTCATTTTCTTTTTTGTTTTTAGAAAAAGAAAATTGTAGAGAAATCGTTCGATATTTATTTGTTTAAAAATTTGAACACTGGAACAATTAGAAATCTTGGATGAGAAAGTTTGCAATATTTTTCTCCTTTCTTCGATTTATTTTCTCTTCAGTTGCAATTTAATTTTTTATTAAAATTTATTTTCTTTCGAATTAATAATTGAAATTTAATTTGTAGAGAAGAAAATAAAACTGAAGTGTAACAAAAAAAAATCTTAAACGTAAAACAATAAAAGAATAAATAAAAAACAGAATAAATAAAGCAAAAGCGAAAAACAAAAAAAAGCTTATAAAAAAATTAAAAAACAAAACTCAAAAAATTAAAAAATCACTGAAAAGTTCAAAATTATTAATAATTTTTTAATAAATGAATAAAGAAACAATTTGAATATTAAATATTTTGATACTAATTTTAATTAGGTACTAAAAATACAAAATTCTTAAATAAATTCTTTAAATTTCTATTTTTAATTAACGATTGAATTGTTCAAAAAAGATATTTTCCAAACACTTCACAATATTTTGAGTATGTAAAATAATTTTTTTCGAAGATAAAAATTATATTTTCTGAATTTTTATTAAATAGTTTTCAATATTTTAAAGCATATTTATTGTTAGGCGACTGACAAAAATTGTACTTGCACATCATTGAAAATTCAGTGGCATGTGATTGAATATTTAAATACAAAATTTAACGTTTCGTGCATTTTTGATTAAAAAAATCATTTTTATATTGTTATTCTGTAAATTCATGACTCTTTAAATTGAAAATTTATTTTATTGTCATTTAAAAATTGATTATTTTTAGTTTTCAAAATCCTTTTGTTCTGAAACTCTTTTAAAACGCAAAACAAAGAAATCGAAAGAGATTTCTTGTTTTTTTGCATAAATATTTTTAAAATAATTCCATATAGCGAATATTCTATAATCTTCGTTGAATATTAACTAATAATTTTGATAGTAAAACTGCATTTGCAATAAAACTTTTGATTTGAAACAATATTTAGTTATTATTTTTTGAAAATTAATCATTTTTCTAAAAATAAAATGAAATGAAATGAAAATTGATAAAATTGATTGAATTAATTGAAAATTAAATGGAATTAAATTTTTATTGAAATGCCATAAAAAATAATAATCACCGTGAAATTTTTTATCCATTAACACCTAATTTATCCATTTTTATTGAAAATAGTAAAAAATTCTTTTTTTTCCTAACGTGAAATTTTTTTTCCCCCGATATCCGTTATAATTAAGAAAATAATATCAAACTCGTAAAACTAATATATTAATATTAAAATATTAAATCAATTTTTTTGAAATTGATTTCACAAGTCACGCTATAAATACCAAAAAAAATATATGTCTATTCATGAAAAAATTTATTATTTAAATATATGCATAATCTGACTCCAATATCTATTTTTTCACTTTATGTAACTTTATTTAACAGAAAAGTGAAAAATATCGGAGTCTTAACAATTGTTCAAATATTTTTTTGAGACAAATATTTCTTACTCTGCGAGAGAAAAAAAAGGAGAGAAAGAGAGAGAGAGAGAGTGTCAGACATATTCTCTGCAGGTTTATAAGTGATAGCAAAACAGACACGATCTGTTGAATTATTCATGAAAAAATGACCGAATATTAATTTGGCTACCGGTCTTGACGAGGTGGCAAGGTCTTTCGAAAATTAAAAAAAAAAAGGAGAAAAAAGAAATCTTATCCTAGAAAAATGGCAAAGGATATAATATTATGAAATATGAAAGAAATTTCTTACCTTTTTTCGGGTTTTGAATTTGGAATTTTTCTATACGTTTCTACATTATTTCTTCATTCTTCATTTATATATGGATTCAAAACTGTAAATTTTTCTTTTCCACTGAATATTTTTTTTTAAATATTCCAAAGACTATTTTTATACTTCAAGAAGATCAAAATGCTTCTGTAAACAAAATTTAGAAAAATTTGTTTATTTTACAGCAATTTTTAAAGTAATTTAATTAAAAAAGAATTAAAAATTAATTTTTAATTGAATTTTTAACTTAACTTTAATAATCTATAAGTCAAAAATTCGTTATATCAGAATTCTCTTCACTAGAAATTTGCATTTTAAAAGTTTGGCTAAGTGAAAATTTTTCATCCTTTACATTTCAGAATTTATTAATTTAGCATTTCTTCTTTATATGGAAAGTTTGATAAATCAAATTTTCAATAAAGAAAATTTCTGCTAAAAATAAAATTTAAACAAAAATATCAAAAATGTAATTTAAAAATATAGTAAATACAGAAAATTTTACATATTTAGAAGTTTTGGCTAAATAGAAATTGTGCTAAAAAATCCGTTTTAAAAGAATTTCTGTAAAATATGAATTCATAATTTCTATAAAATTAGGAAATCGTCCAGAATTTCTATTTTAGCAAAATTGAGCAAAAATAGAAAAATTTAATTTAAAAATGGTAAAGAGGATATTTTATAATTTGAAAATTTGTCTAAATAGAAATTATGCTAGAAAAAATTCATTTTAATAGAATTTGTATAAAATAAAAAATTATGAAGTCTCATAGAATTTGTATTTTATCGAAATGTATTTTAATATACTTTTCGCTAAATTGAAGATTCTACGATTATTTATTAATTAATTAAATTAATTAATTTCTACCCTTTATTAATTATTAATTGAATTTATTTCTTTGTTTTTTGTTAACTTTAGATAGATTGTATATTTTATTATTATGTTATAATTATTTTTATTTTATAATTAATTCAAAATTGTAATGACAGATAGAAATCATCAGAATTTTTTTCACTTCTATTCATTAAAAGACAAAAATTTTGTTAAATATTATGTTTTGTCAAATTAAAATTATGCAGATTTTTGTTCTTTAATTCTAAACAAAATTATAAAATTGTTAAACAACTGTGATTAAGAAATAGAAAATTTATTTATTTTGCATTATTTTTGTTTATAAATCACAATTTTTTTAACAAAATTATTATTTTGTTTTAGAAAAAGAAGAAAAATATTTGTACAATTCCTATTTTTAATCTTACTTTTGGAACAGGATTTTCCACAGGAATTAAGATATTCAAAAATTTCAAATTCAAACCTTTTTTAAATTAAACAACTTATAAAAGTATTTGTTATAAAACATGATGATATCGATTGCTCCGAGTCGAAGACTCGGAGTGATCGATTTCTTCATGTTTTCTAATAAATTAAAGATGACCGAGAGATAAAATCATTATTTTATATCATAAGAATATTGTTACTGTAACTTCATCAAAATTATTTTCATCATTTTAATTCAATTATTATTTTCTAGAATTTTAAATTATTTTTTATGAAAATAATTGAATTCCTTAAAAAAAATTTATTATTTATGAAAATAATTAAATTCCTGTGAAATTTGTATTATTTATGAAAATAATTAAATGTTTGCATACAATTTTATTAAAAATTTTTTCAAATAATTGAATTCTTTTCGGGAAATTTTATTAAAATAGTAGATATTAAAAATCATTGAAATTAGAAAAATTTTTGAAAATAATTGAAATAAGGACAAGAATTTTTTTGACATTTATGAAAATAATTGAACTTTGGAGAAGAATTTTGTTATTTATAAAGATAATTAGGATTTTTACGAGAATTTTTTCCAAATTTTGAACATAGTTCAATTTTATATGAAGAATGTTATTTTATTTTTTAAAAATAATTAAATTTCAGCAATTATTTGTAATATCCCATAATATTAGATATTAAAAATCATAGAATTGCGAAAAGTTTTTAAAAATAATTTAATTTTACAAAGAATTCTATTAAAATTTTTGACAATAATTAAATGTCTGTGTGGTATTTTATTAAATTTTTTTTTGAAGATAATTGAATTCTTAAAAAGCATTTTATTATTTATGAAAATAATTGAATTCATGCAAACGATTATTAGAATTTTTTTAAATAATTGAATTTCGAAGAAGAAATTTATTACTTTTAAAAATAATTGAATTCTTGTGATGAATATTGTTGTTTATGAAAATAATTGAATTTTGCAAAGAATTTTATTAAAATTCTGGAAAATAATTGAATTTCTGTGAAAAATTTTGTTATTTATGAAAATATAGTTGAATTTTGGATGAATTTTTATCATTTTTTTTTTCTTAATAATTGAATTCTTTTGAGAAATTTTATAAAAATACTAAATATTGAAAATCATTGAAATTAGAAAAATGCATTTTATTTTTGAAAATAATTGAAATTAGGACAAGAATTTTTTTGACATTGATGAAAATAATTGAACTTTGGAGAAGAATTTTGTTATTTATAAAGATAATTGGGATTTTTACGAGAATTTTTTTTCAAATTTTGAACATAGTTGAATTTTATAAGAAGAATTATTATTATTATTTTTTTTTTGAAAATAATTGAATTTCTGCAAATATTTATAATTTCTCAAAAATTGAAATTTTTTAGTGTTTTCAACAAAAATTAAAATTAGAAAATATTAAAATTCTATTATTTTTAAAATATTGCTAATTTTATTTTAAAAAATCAGTGAGAATTTAGCCGCGCGCTTGAGCGCGCGAATTGTTGCTAATAATATATTTAAATTCAATAATAGATACCAAAGAAATTTTAATAAAAATAATACACTGCAAAAAGAGGTGTCTTATTTTGAGACATTTTTAGTGTCTCAGACACTAAAAACGTTTCAAAATAAGACACCTCTTTTTGCAGTGATTCTATTTTTGTTATAATTTTTTATTATAATTATATTACTATTATGGTTTGCTTTTATTTATTGATTAACTTATTTAATGAAAACAGTAAATAAAGTTATTATCCAAATATTATTTCTCAATAAGCAATGTAATTATTTGTCAACAAAAAAGAAGAAAAAAGGAAAAAAAATCTTTTATTGACATTTTCTATACACAATTGAACGAGATATATAAATATTGAACGAGCGGTAAGTCAGTCAGTCAGTCAATCAGTCAGTCACGTCTGTCTACCCCCATAGTAGTTGACTGTTACATATTTAGAATCATTTCCGTTTATCAAGTGATGGTGTGTGCGATGACAATGTCCAAATAGGCGCAACGATGGCAAAAGGAATTTATTAGTAAACAGAGTACACTGGCAATAAACCGTGTGTGTCATGCTGATAGAATGAGAGGGGGGACGTTACATGACTGTATGGTGGTAACTACTATACACACGTATATACAGTGGAGTGTCAGTAGACACCCACCTAGGGGCAGCCACCGCGGTGCGACTTGTGATTTACTGCCACTGCTGCCCCACCCAGGAATGTCGCGGTTTTGCGCAAGATTTTAAAAAATAATCGACCAAACCGAGAGAGAGAGAGGAAGCCAGTCGGCGCCCAGTAAAAAAGAAATCATCCACGAACCTCTCTCTATATATATACATATAAAAGCTGAGAAGTAAAGGGGTGGGGGAGGGGATTTAATCTGCGCGGAACGCAAGAAGCAGGTATGGGATTGCATATCTTTACCCGAAGCCACCTTTCCAAGTTAAGCATCTGCGCATAACTTAATTCCCATGACACACGACATAAAAAGCCAAACTCGATGACCGTACCTAAACTTTAAATATTTTATGTGTATATATTGGTTGGTGTCTTTGTATGTATTATTAAGAAATTTTTATTTTTCTTCTTTGAAAATTTGAGGTGAGAAAATTTTGTCGATTGCGGTCGGAAAAGTTCTATAGAATTTCACTAGAATGATTCTGCATAAAAAGTCCAGTGAACATTTTATAGAATTTACGATATGTTATAAATTATAATAAATTAATAATATTAAATATTATTTTAATTTTATAGAATTATTCTTGTAAATATTAGGTGGAAATTTAAAAAAATATTATAATATTATAATATTATTAGAATATTATAATATTTTGTATATATTAATTAATTGTAAGTTGTTATTCAATTTTTCGTTTTTTGAATTTCGCGCCAATACAGTTCGTCAAATTCCCGCCTAGAGGGCATGAAAATCCTCTCATAAACAAAATGAAGAAAACAGAGATCATGAATCATACGAAAAAATTGTTAAGTATCAGATATAAAATGAATAATATTAAAAATTACAATAATTAATCAATTGAAAACAAATATTTATTAACCCCTTAACTGACCCCTAGAGGAAAATCTGAAAGAAATAATTTTACCAATAAGAAATAACTTAAAAATACTTACTCGATGGATTTTGGAGTCATTAAATCCGTATCTGAAGTAAAAATTAATAAATTCAAAATGGCAACTAAAAAACTTGAAAATTAACTTTTTTCGATAAAAATGTTTACTCATGGGTCTGAATCCGAATCTTTGGTCAAAACGTAAGGATTCAAAATATCTTCGAAATGACGACAGAAAAAATTTAAATTCAAATAATTTAGTTAAATTAAATAATTTTCGGTCGTTATTTTGAATTTTTAAATTCAGCGACCCTAAAAACAGGAGAAATATAATAATACCGCTTTTATCAAAAGAAAATTTCTTTTTAACACATTTTTGTCACGAGAAATCAAATTTTTATTTCAGGGAATTCAGAAGGGGCAAAAAATTCCAGTTAATAACATTTCTATTTAGCCAAAATATTAAGAGGGAAAATTTCTATTTGGCTGAATTTTTAAAACGTAAATCAGTAAACAAAATGAAGACGATAAATTAGTAAATTTTAATTACTTAACATCAAATTTAACTGATTTGAAATCAGTGACAGAAACTGATTTAAAATAAACAAAAAATTTGATTTAAATTTTGAAAATTACTTTTAAAAAAATTATGCAGAATTAATTATATAGAAAATTTTGATTCAGACTTAGAAAATGGAAGAAAAAGGATGAAGAAATGAATTAATAATTAATTTAAAGAAGAAAATTAATTAATTAAAAAAAATTAAACGTAAATAGATTGAAA